GCGGCTATATAAATTTGCAAAATAAATACATAAGAGTGTTTCCCAACCATGACAAGTTCCAGGTGAGTGGACTTCAACTCCTGGAATTCTCATCAATGGCTATGCTGGCTGTGGAATTCTGGGGGTTGAAGTCCACTCACCTGGAACTCGGCACGGTTGGGAAACACTGGCTTAGAACATATATTAAACTATGGGCCTTTCCCCACTGTTGAGCTGAAGGGCTGTTCACCCACCACTGAGTCAGCAGAAAACTAATCCAGGATAACATTTGCTGTCAGCATAATATTTGCTGTCCTCATGGCTGATCCCTTAATTCAGCCTCCATTGCCTCTCTTTTAGCTTTCAAGCACTGGGTCACTTCACTCTCCTTGAGCTGCCCTTGGATGATGCTGGAATAAGGGGGGTAAAAACTAGTACAGCTGAGGATGGCTTAAAGCTGCTTGCTTCTGTTGGGCTGGGCAGAGATGAATTTCCACAGGATGTGCTAAAAAAAGTCAAGATGGTGGCCATGAGGTTGTGATTGAAGCTCCACTCTCTTTTAATGTGTGTTGCACATAAAAAGCAGGTGAAGCTTCAATCACAGTGTTATGGCTGGCATCTTCACTATTTGACCACATCCTGTGGAAATTCATCTCCTGCCCAACCCAACATAACATGCAGACACCCCTGGAGACGAAGCAGCCTCATGGGGACATGGCAGAAAAATGTTGTTAAGATTTGTTTATGCCACGGCTAGGTGCCAGTGAGGAAAAGCCCTGTAACTGAATTTAGACAGATGCTCATCCTAGAGCATACAAACCACCTTATGGCCAAGCATGAATGTTGTAATTTAATGAAGTATGGCCAAGCAAGCCAGCTGAGAGCCAGTTTGGTGTAGTGGTGAAGGCACCAGGGTAGAGACTGGGAGTTCTAGTCCTACTTTGGGCACAAAAGCAGCTGGGTGACCTTGGGCCAGTCACTTCTCTTAGCCCTAGGAAGGAAGCAATGGCCAACCACTTCAGAAATCTTGCCAGTCACCAGGAGTCAACACAGACTCAAAGGTACACACGCACACACAAAAGCAGCAAACCACAGTTTACTATGACATCAACCCAACCTTTAATTTCTAACTTGTGAACTCAGTAGTCCTCCCCTGCCCTTCCTCCCTTCAAGCATAATTCACACTCCTTTCTTTTTCAGTGGCTCTTACCTGCCTGACGAAGCTATTTGAAGTCGTGTCAGAAGAGGTGCTGCCATCGGAGCGTTTGAAGCGGTTCTTCCTTTTGCTATACTTCCCCTAACAGGGGGAGAAGATACAAAGGTCAGAGCAGTGCAAATGCAGAAAACAAACATTCACAAGCAGATAGGTAGGCGACAAAAAGTGTGGACTCGCGCAGTGCTGCAGTAAAGCTATGCTCTAACCCAGCAAAGGGAGAATATAAACCCCACCCACAGATAGTTGGACCACGGATTCCATAGTCTCTAACTACCAACCACGTTACTGGGGCTGCTGCAAGTTGGACTTCTACAATATATGGAGAGGCGTAGGTTTCATTACTCTGCCAACTGACAGCTCCATCATTGTGGCAGTGGCACCAAACAAAATCATAACTTTGCCAAAGAGTGACAGGAATTTGGGGGGGAAATCCTATTGAATATGCATTTAGCATGTCTGTTACACAATTATTATAGCTCCACTCAGGAAGCTTTTGTCTAAGTAAATGGGCAAAAAGTAGAGCAAAAGATACTATAGAGCTCGGTCTAATAGTTAGTTTAGGCTTAAGCCTCCATTAATTCTCCAGGACAAAAACGTGGGATGAAGGAGTGACCATAAAATAGAGATATTCTTACAATGGCATTACTGCTGCTTGTTTGATTTTTTTCATTCCATTGGCAAACAGGAAATACTTTGGTGACTTAAAGTGGAACAGAGTCAGCTTAGTCTTCCTCTCTATCTGTGGATGCCTTTGATCCTGATTTGGGCCATGACATTTCTGACTGTTCTTGTGCAAAATTAAAAAAGAAAGAAAGGGTCACCTAGTTAGCCCCTGCCAAAATTGCTGAAATATGAAGGAACAAAGAGAGGGTCTGGGAAAAAGGTCAGACATCTTTGCGCTGGTTTCTTTATCCAGTTAACACGCATCAACATCTTATGTGTTCTGCAAATATTCTCACTGGCTGCGTTCATGTGTAACACTATTACTTGATTTGTTTTCACCATAGCTTTTGAACAAGACATAGTGGCCTGATTCACAAATAACACTAAATGATAAGCCATGGTTCAGAAGCCCCTATGGCATGGCTCTCTCCTTGCTAAGCAAACCATACTAGGACTTACCAGGATCTGTGAATCCAGCTACAAAGGTCTGTTGCAATGCTACCAACTCTCTTGCTGCATGTAAAGCAGAAGAGCATTCAAAAACCACACCAAGAACAAATTCTCTACTTCCCTCAAGCTGCAAACCTACCCCAATGGCATGTACATCACAGATGCCTTTCCTTCAGTGCTTTTGTTCTGATACACACAGGCCGGTTTCCTAAGCTCACACCAGTAAGCACTGCAGCAGGGCACAAAACTGTGAGCCTAACAACGTTGTGTCACATGCCACGGCTGTGCAATTTTAAAAAGAACTACTGTAGAGAAACACTTGCTCTTTTAAGATGCACCATATCAGGGATTCTGCAGTGGGAAAATCCTTTCTTGGCCTGGTGTCTTTCAGGTGGTTGGATTACAACTTCTGTCACTATCATGTGCAACACATAAAAAAGGGTGGAACTTTGTTGGAAAGGTTGCAACTGCCATATTGATTTTTTTTTGTTGCCCCTGCAGTTGTTGGTCAACACAACAATTTGGGAAAGATTCCAGCACAGTACCTCCTTTGAGAAAAGCTAGGAAGAGTTTGCCCAAAAGTCTTCATAACCAACATTCCTCACTTTTCCCAGAACTGAATGAGGAACGTTGGTAGTTTATTGTTTTTCACAGCTCATCAACCAGATAGCTAATCCAGTTTAAGAGTGTAAACTGTGAACTGCCATATGTCCAGGTTCAAACCTTTCGTTAACCATGAGCTTTTTTAAAAATCATTTTTCATCCTGGATCATCCAAATTGAATACACTATTTATTTATTTATTTATTAAATTTATCCCCGCCCATCTCCCCCTAATGGGGGACTCTGGGCGGCTCACAACTCATTAAAACAATTACATAAAACCTAAAACCTGTACAAAACAATTACTAAAAAAGAGAGTCCAGGAGCCTGATGGTTCAGAGCAGCAAACGCCAGGCCTCTAAGGGGCTAGCCATCCCCACACCTGATATCTTCCCTCCCCACCCCAGGCCAGATGGCAGAGCCAGGTCTTCAAATCCCTCCGGAAGGCCAAGAGTGAGGGGGCCAACCTCACCGCCGGGGGCAAGATATTCCAAAGGGCGGGGGCTACAGCAGAGAACTAACAAAGCTGGTTTATCAAGGCTGTGGGAAAGGCTATTGAGAGGGTGTATGCACAGTTCTCTGAGTTTGTGAGGATCAATATTATAGTATAGGTCAGGGTTTCTCAACCTTGGCAACTTTAAGATGTGTGGACTTCAACTCCCAGAATTCCCCAGCCAGCATCTGTTTGTGAGGATCAATATTATAGTATAGGTCAGGGTTTCTCAACCTTGGCAACTTTAAGATGTGTGGACTTCAACTCCCAGAATTCCCCAGCCAGCATCTTAAAGTTACCAAGGTTGAGAAATACTGGTATAGATGATATAATCCAATCACAAGAGTTATTGAGCAGAAAACAGTCAGTGGAACTTAGTGAAATTTTCATTTGAGGAAATTAGGAAGTTCTACTGAAAGTAAAAGGGAAAAGAGGGCTCCTCTCCCTCCACACATGTAACTATAAGCAAGAAGACAGCCCCCATATTTGGTTCTCAGTTAATTCTCACACCCACTACAGTTACAACCTGTAGATCTTTCTTTTCATAGCAAGCAAGCAAGCAACTCTGGATTCCTTTTTAGGAGAGGGGATATCAATTTAAATTTCTTTCCTTCACCTGCTTCTAAGAATCATGCCTCCGTCCATATCCCAAGGGTGAATGTTCCCTCCCCCATGAACCACAGTCCCTTGCACTGATCCTCAGAAAAATCCAGAGCCTTTGGTCCGGGGTGTGTTTAGAGAGAGTAAAGCAGACGTGGCCAGGAATGAGCCAGACACTTCCCAGGCATGTCTCGGGGAGAGAGGAAGGACAGCTGGTTGAGAAGAAGCCCATTGTTACTAGGCCTCCCGCAGACATGGTTCTCGTAGTTCTAAGGCCAAGCAGGGCAAGACAAGGAGGCAGAGATGAGGCTGGTATTTTTAGGTTTTTCCTCCCCCTGTTCTAATTCAGGCACGTGCGTCACTCATAGCTGCAATACGCAGTCGGGATCCAACACGTGGAGGACCATGAAGAGCGGGACAAAAGAACTGCCAGAGAGAAAGGATGTTTTAGCTCCAGACAGGCCACTACCACCTCGCACATACTCAATTTAGCACTGCTTTTGAGAGGAGCTGCATGGAGTTGATCTTGATCAGCAAAGGACCACACATTCTTCCATCAAGTGGGAGCAATGCAGCTGCTACAGTACTTCCTTATCAACTTGATCCCTCTCTTCCTCTCTCTCTCCTCCTTCCCCTCCCTCTGAGATCTACCTTTACACTGGTATTTTTAAAACTCCTCTGATGTTCATAAGTGAGTACAAGAAAATTGGGATTTTCTATCTACCTCTTAGATCAAACCAAAAGACCCATGTAGCTCAACATCTTCTCTTAAAATATTCTGCCACTGAGTTCTATTCCATCATTATCCACATACACCAAAATAAAGAATACCTTGGCATTTCCTAACACCCATACCTGACTTGTACTTCTGTCTGATTTGCCAACTTCCACTGCCTGCCTAGGTTCACCAGCATTCAATATTTCTCTCCCCACACCAAACTAAACAGACTATTGTAATGATCAGAATTCCCTTTCCAGCTTACTCTTGTTTTAATCTAACCTATTTCAGGCTGTCCAAACATATAAAATAGAAACCTGTGCTTCTTCAGTCAGAATCATGTTCTGCTTGTCAAAACCAATCAGTATAGCAGTTTCTGAGAATCTCTCATTTCCAGTCAGGGCCAATAAAGTACCCCTAAAAAAAGTGGCCAGGAGATTAAGAGACCACCACCAATTTTCCAATATTCCACCTATTAAATGTTGTCTTTGGGAGCTATTATAGCTAAAATTAGCCTCTAAATAAACATTCAGCAATAGTCAATATGGTGTTGTTATGCCATAACTGCTAGGAGATGTTGAATATAAACTCTTTGCTTTGGAAAGTTAAAACACAAAAGTAGCAGATTATGGGAGCAAAATCCAACACATCTGGAGAGCTGAAGAGTGAAATCAAACCATTTTTGCCCCAAATTAGAAACTTTAATCCATGCATCCTGTGCCATCCTGAAAGATTAATGAACATTTCTACCCATCCTGTCAATTCATGTCTATCTGAAACTTGTTTTTAGATTCATCAGGTTCCCTGACTGTAGTAGCTGAAGAAGCGGAGGAGAAAACCTTTACTACTAAATCCCAGGTTTCCTCCATATATAGATATATAATTAACTACCTTTGTTGAGACCCCCACAAATGTCTCCTCAAATGAATTGGGGGAATCACTACTACTCCTGGATCCATTACTCCTGATTTCCATTTGAGAGAGGAAGCCAGATGAAACATATCTGAACTTCAGTGGCAAAGAACTGGTCATTTAATTCCCAGGCCACTTCCCTGATCACAACTGGCTGGGAATTCTGACACATCTGGAAAGGGGCACTAGTAATAGAAGGCTGGTGCACCTCAATAGTCCTCCTTGGGATCAGCCTGAGGAGCTTCTCTTATTGCCAGTCTCAAAAGCAGCTATTCCATCTTTCTTTGCCCTTAATCAATTTGTACAGTATGAGGGGGGGCGGGGAGGAAGTGGTGGGAAAATATGGAAGGGCACAAACACAAGATCCTATTGCATATCTCCCCCTCCCCATCAAATTCCATGACCGAGCCAGGGCAATTACTCAGTTACAGTCTGGTCTGGAAGATTTAAGGATCACAACGGAGAAGAGAAGGGCCTGAAGCTCACTTTTCACTGGAGCGCCGGGCTAGCCCGAGCCCCCATACCAGCCATCGCTGCCCCCTTTCTTTTTTTTCCTCCTCCATGAATTGCACTTCACCACCCATCGACCCATCCCAAAGTGCCTGACTGTTCCCGGGTGGCGGGCAGTTCAAGATCAGAGGCAGTAGAAGGGAGGATCCGAGGAAACTGTCAATGTGCCTT